TTTTTTTAGTCCCCCCCTCCCCCGCATAATACCCAGTTACCATCTTCCAGTCTCCATGTTGTAGATCCATAGTTCTTCTCTAGGCAGATAAAAGTCATATAATCCTCTGACTTGATTACTCTAAGAAGAATCAAAACAATTGCAAATAACAGTAGTTGATATTTTAAGGAGGCATATTATGAAATTAAGGATGCAATTATGAAATTAAAATGAAAAAATAAATAAGCCTTACACTTAGATTAAATGCACAATTTTCCTAGACTCTTACCACATACTCAGGGTAAAGCTTAATGTAAATAGTCCTTAATGCACATTTTTTTTATATAGCATTGTAATGGTGCAAAGAGTTGAAAGGCCTCTGGGAACTTGCTAAGGCTGCTCTATCCTAAAGAAACCATGCATCAAATTTCAGTTGCATGACTTCAGGTGAGATTGGTTATCTGTGCTGTGACCAGCAGACTATACAAAGTGGCCAACTCATGCCAGCATATGTGTGGTGTTCTAACCAGGTTTTCCTTTCACTCATTTTATGACAAGAAATRGAGGGAATAACTGCAAATATGTGAATATTGAGTCTTTATGCAAAACTGTAAGTTCCTTATTTTATTCTGATTCCCTTCAGGTATTAACTCCTAAAGATAGCTTACCATATGCCAGAACTAAATGCTGTCCACAAATCTCTTTATTTAATACTTACAACAAAAAAGTAGTTGATATTACAACAGGTTTTTTTGGAGAGGTTAAGTAATTTGCCCAACTTAGCAAGTTATGGTGGAAGCAGGAATTCTTCTTTCCTGAACTTTGATGACTGCCTCACATTTTCAGTCTTTGATCCTCCCTGTACACTTTTTTTTTTGCATTTCTTAAATTATTTTATTTTTTACTTTGAAATATTTATAGATTCACATGAATTTGTAAGAAATAATTCAATTCTTTTTTCCTCCCCTGGCCTGGGGAGGAAAACCCACTACTACGAAGGAAGCCAAAGTTTACTACCCTTGAAACAATTCCCAAGGGTTTCCTGTGCCTGCTGTCAAGAGTACCAGTAAAAAAAAAAAAAAAAAAAAATATATATATATATATATATATATAAATGAAGGAGGGAGGGCGGGCATTTGGTAATCACGCACTTCAGTGACTGCCTCTCATGAGTCCCCCAACCTCATAAATTAATCAGAAATCTGCTGTGATGGTCCTCTTCCTCCCAACAACCTGAAAATCCTTTTCCCTCAATGCTGATTTTTACTGATAGAATCATAAAGTAGTATTAGACTGAAGTGTGATTGAATGCTGTTTCCCCCTCAAAAGTATTTACATTTTAATAATGATCACTACATACTTAATCCCTCCCTCTTCACAATTCCATACCCCCAATCCTGATCTCAATGAGACCAGCCTGACATGGGGAGAAAAACACTACTATGAAGGAAGCCAAAGATTACTACCTTTCAAACAATCTCCAAGGGTTTCCTGTGCCTACTGTCTCCCTCTTCACAGTTCCATTCCCCAACCTTCTACACACCTATTCATGGGAAGCTGGGGAAAACATGGCAGGTTAATTAGGATTGGAAAAGAAAAGTACTTTTGCAGTTGAACCAAATGACAGTGTCAGGACAGCTGTCTTTGGGAGCTACCTCAAAATTGGTCAACTGTGATCAGATCAATTGTACCATGAGCTAAACTGTTACCAGAGTCACAAAGCAACTCATTTAAGGCATAGGTGCAAGAAACTAGATTTCGAGTCTTCGGTAAGAGGGAGATCCTCCCCACCCAACCAAGGCCTCCGGAGTGCGAGGCTAGTCTACAGGTCTACCCCTGAAGCAATTCCCCCAGCCCCCGTCAAATGAAACCTCCGGGGGACACGTGATTGAACTTGGGGTCTCAGACATATTAGACAATGCTCCCTTTGACCACTTACAAAACCAAAAGGAATAAAGGATTTCGTGGTCGAAATGGATCACAGCCACCCCAGCTAATAAGAGAATTCTAGAATGTAGAGTGTCACTGGAAAACGAAAACCAATAAAAGAAGAGAACGAATGAGCGAGCACGGTTTTACACTGAAGACATCTGGGTAGGACTCCTCGGTGGGCGGGGCGGGGCGGGAGAAGCGGTGCAACTGGCTCTAAACTGAACTAAGCACGTTTTATGATTAGGGTGCGATCTAATAACATGTTGCTAGGGGTTGTTGGTTGGTTAGTGGTGGAAATACTCCATTAATTTTCTAAATGGAGGTTTATTTTTAAAAACTTCAACCCTTTCACGGCTGAAACCAGAGGGTTGTGTTCAAACAATAGTCTGGTGTAGCTGGTACTGCTTACTGCACAGGCGGGGAGGTTGAAGAAGGCGATWCCGTGGCCTTGCAGAATTCCAGGGTATTCCTACATCTGGGCCACCCCGTAAGTGGGCAAGGCTACCTATGGCCCAACTGGCCTCAGCTTCATAGGTAAAGTTCTCCTGAGTAGTYCGGACAAAGGGTCCGGGTGACCTCATAACGCCATCTCCTTACACACCCCCAACCCTTTTAAATAAAACCTGTTCCGTAGTCAGCCACCACCAACCCACATTAACAGTGCCCTCTCCAGAATAACGCTCCAATAGCAACAATGCGGGGGGGCGCGGCAAGCCGGCTTTGTAAGCTAAGGTTGACGTGACAACCGCCGTGGAGCCTTGAGACGGGTTGGGGGACTCACGAGAAGACACCCCCCCCACACACACACACACACACAAGTAAAAGAACCAACGGGTAGAGTCGCGTGGCGAGAGATTTGGGAAGCGCCCTGGACAGCCCGCTCCTGCTGCCCGCCGGGCCACTGACCAGCTGCTCGCCTCGCCACTGACCGGCTCGCGCACCAGCCAAGCGAAGCCCGCCGGCCCCCCACTGACCTTGTAGCCGCCCCAGACGAACATGTGGCGCCCGTCGCTGACGGCTACGTGGCCGCTGCGCTCGGCTGGGCAGGCGAGCTCCATGGACTCATAGCTCTCAAAAGCTGGCCCTGGCAAGTCATCCGCCCGCAGATCCTCGTTGCCATCAGCCATCTTGAGGCTGCACTTTCGTGCACCAAGAATGTCCACACTTGTGAGCCGGGAAGAGACAAAGAAAAGGAAAGAAATGCAAAGCGGCGCGTAGCCAGGAGAAGGCAGAGGCGATGACAGGCGCGGCGGGCAGGCCTGCTGGCCGCCAGTGCGGTCTCCCGCCCTGCTCTTCCGAGCTCAGACCTCCACCGCCCCGGCGCCCTGCGTGCAGTGGGTCGGGGGCGAGGGACAGCAGTGGGGCCCAGGGCAGGAGCAGCGAGGGGAGGGCTGCCCACTCGACTGGCTAGCTCTAGCAGCCTTGCGCCCCGCCTCCAGCAGCCCAGGGCCCTTGTTTACGCCGCGGCCGGAAGCCGCCGGTTCCGCTGACGCGGCTCGTCGGGCTCCAGAATCGCGGCCGCGCTCAGCGCCCCCAGCGCCGGGTCCTCCCGCCGCCGCGGTCGCCGCAGCCCGCCCCKCCGCCCGGTGCCTGGGCCTGGACGCCTACGTGGCCCCGCGAAGTCCAGGCACACTCCAAGTCCCCTACCTTGAGGAGCTACAAGGATATGCTAGGGTTTAGCCAGATTCGCGCATTCCATTTTCTTTTGGAGAGTTTTCCTTTCTCATTGAAGGGTGTTTTCAAAGGGTTCCCAGTCTGGACAAGGCATCAAAATTTCCCAACAGGAAGTTTCCAATCTTAGCTTCTCAGATACGGAGTAAATGCCCGCCTTCCTGCAAATAGGAGGGTGGCGCCTGGGCCCGGTGACCCCAGCTCCAGTGACTCGCAGCTTCGCTGAGCGGTGCCAACTGGGCTCCCTGCGGGTTCTGCTCAGGCTCCGCGGGCGTTCTGATTTTTACTGCTGCAAACTGCCTCCCAGTTTGGAGAATCGTATTAAAAGGCGTATCATAAACTGTAACCGCTCAGTTCTCCAGAAGGAAAGCGAATCCTATTCACAGGTTTTGGGTTTTTTTTTTTTTTTTCTTATATGATACATTTAAGTTAGGCCAAAAGGAAATCACAAATTATCTAAACTACATAACTCACGTGTAACGTATTAGGGGTTGGACTAGAATACATCTTAAATTCCTAATTTAATGGTGCCTCTAGAATTTGCGGTGGGAGCGGCGTGCTTCATTGTCCTCTCTTTCCCCCTTCTTCACCCTGGAACACTACACAGAACAGCAATACACTGAACAACAAAGCATTTTTTTTTCCACTTAAATTTTTGTTGTCTGAAACTTTCTCTGCTGACATTATGCTCACTTGAATTCAGAGAAGAGAGTTACTTAATAGGACTAATTTAAGCCTCCAAAAAGAAACAAATCCTCTGGTAGCTGTTGAGACTTTCTTTGCTACTCACCTTGGTTTGTACAAGGCTCACCAATGTGGCTCACCAGGATTTCTTGGAGTAGTGTCCCTTCCCGATGTGATGGATTTGTGCTTAGTACAATTTTGGGGGAAGTGGGGGTGCCGAGGATTGAACTCAGAGACACTTGACCACTGAGTCACATCCCCAGCCCTATTTTGTATTTTATTTGGAAATAATGTCTTAACTGAGTTGCTTAGTGCTTTGCTTTGCTGAGGCTGGCTTTGAACTCTTGAAATTCTCCTGCCTCAGCCTCCGATCCTCTGGGATTACAGGCGCGCCCCACCCGCGCTTAGTATAATTTGGGGTTAGAAAAGTTTTATTGTGAAGCAGCTTTGCAAATCTTTATCAGGTCATTTTGACACGAGAGAAGAAGCGTCCGAAGCGGAGTCCGAAGAAGAGTTCCCGGGGAGAATTGGGGGACTCGACTCAGTACCAGCGGGGTTCTTGGCATAGAAGGGAAAATAATTTCAATATCTGCCAGCTGGGGACATCGACGGGTCATTTAGAAACGTAGGTACACCTTCAAGGGAGAATGCAGGTCCTTATTCAGAGTGAGAGACAGGTTTGAACGGTTCCCCTGCAGTTATTTTAAGGGAAACTTGGTGCGTGGCGACGGTGGCGCATGGAATTCCAGCAACTCCGGAGGCTGAGGCGGGAAGATCACAGGTTTGAAGCCAGCCTCGACAAGTTAGCTAGGCCCTAACCAACTTAATGAGACTTTCTCAAGATTAAAAAGGGCTGAGGACGTAGTACAGTAGTTCCCTTGGGGTCAGTCCCCAGTGAGTACGTACATACATACCTATGGAAAGGGGTGTCTATGTAGGAAGATCCCAGTCTGGCAATCTCAAGATGGTTTATGGTGGTCTGGACAGTCAAGATCTTCAGGCTGACATGGTTTTCCTTATCTGATCATTCAGTCGTGCTGGAAAAATCCCTTAAATTATGGTTTCCTTGAAACATATTTGCTCTTGTTTAGTCTATTTATTGGGGGTTTAATTAATGATTCACAGATAAAATTACAGATTTCCCAGGAATTGGGGAGTAATAGGCTGGCAAGGGAGGACAGCTCAGGGAGCAAAGGGCCTGGAAAAGTTTGAAGTATTTTTGAATTAAAATCCTTAAAATCTTTTTTCCTTTTCCTTCCTTTGTGGTTTTTTTGTTTTTGTTTTGCTTTGCTTTATTTTAATTTTTGGTATTGGAGATTGAACCCAGGGGTATCTAACCATTGAGAAAGATCCTCAGCCCTTTTTATTTTTTTTTACTTTGAGACAGGGTCTCACTAAGTTGCTGAGGTTGGCTTTGACTTTGGGATCCTCCTGCTGCAGCCTCCTGAGCTTCTGGGATTACAGGTGTGCACCACCCCACCCTTTATGTCTCCTTTCTATTTATTTCTCACGCCTTCTATCCTACCTCAACTTTACTAACAACTTTTGAGTTGGCTCTCACAGTTCTTGGGATAGAGTTCAAAATTCTTATCTTGGTGAGTACAGGACCCAGCATGGCCTGGCCCCAGCTTATCTTCCAGCTCCATTTGGGGGCTGTCCTTTGCTCCTTCCAGTTTACATTAGCATTCTCTTGGCTCTTGAAACACATTTGGCTCTTTGTAACTTAGGGCCTTCACATCTTGTGGTTCCCTATTCCTAGAAATCTAAATCATCTGTCACCTCTCAATTCAAATTTTCTCAAGGAAACCCAGATTCCCCCAGGCAACTTTTAGTTTCCCTGTTAGAAACTGTTAGCTGCTTCTGCTTCTCCATAGCTCTGAATCAACTGAAACCAATATAATTATTTGTCATTCTTGGTTCCCCTTACTAGATTGTAAACTTGAAGTAGGACCCTATTCAAGTGATGATCCAAGTTATAAAACCACCTCCTGTCAAAAAAAACATGAGAAGTTTGTTTTTCCTTTGGATGAAGCTGACTAGCTAACAATTACCTTAATTACCAGGTGACTCTAGGATGAACTRTGTGMGACAAATGAAGCTGTTAAGTCTTATTTTAGAACTAGCTATTGTTTACCTTGAGAACATGTATGTATTGGACTGTTTCTGCATCACTGTATAAAAAGATGATATTTCTTTGATTTTGTGATCTCTTAGTAGCTTGCCTATGATAGACATCACATTTTGGTTTAATGTTTATTCAACAACCAAAACTGTTTGCATTATCTGTTTTTGTGGAGAGATGTTCTGGGTTGAGAGATTTTGTTTTAAATTTTATTTCACCAACAGGAGCATTCAGAAAATATTTGTCACAGATCTGAGTTGCCATAGTAATTAGAGATATGAAATTGGGAATAGACTGAAGAATGCTTTCTAATAGCATACTTAAAAAATTCTTATGAAAGACTCCTTCTTTGAAGTAGGTCATTGCTTGATTCCTATGGAATTATAAATTTCTACATTACATTCTATCCTCAGAATCCTAAGGGATCACAGCATCAAGGGGACTGAATCTAGAACCATAAACAACATCTCTGGATGCGTGAATTAATATATATTTTACCTAGAGTCAAATATGTACAGATGCTCCTTAATTTTGGATAGGGTTATATCCCAGTAAGCACACTGCAAGTCGAAATTATCACAAATTAAAAATGCATTTAATACACCTAAATTACTATCATAGCTTTAGCACATAACACACTATAGAATACCAGTTGTTTACACTGCTGGTCACATGACTKACTAGGAGCAGCTGCTTACTGCCACAGCTCAGCATTGCAAGAAAGTATGAGTCACATAATCCACATCCCAGGAAAATATAAAATTAAAAATTTGAAGTATGATTTCTATTGAATACAAATCACTTCTGTACCCACTATAAAATAAAAATATCACTAGGTGGAACCATTGTAAGTTGGGGACCGACTGTGTGTGTTTGTGTATATGTGTTTACCGTTTAATACAACACTATAATAATCACTTTTAATTTCTATACATGTATCAAGCCATACTCTTATTATACTTATGAGAATGAAAACAAAAAGTCTTAAAACACATTAACTAGTTGTACTCTAAGCAGAATTTCTCAAAGAGGAACCATGGCCCCAGGCTCTCTGGATACCTGGAGATCTTTTCAGGAGTTCCTCAAGTAACTCATGCAGGGGATGGCATTGTAGCTCAGTGGTAGAGCACTTGCCTGGCATGTGTGAGACACTGGGTTTGATCCCCAGCACTACATAAAATAAATAAAATAAAGATAATGTGCCCATCTATAACTAAAAATATTTTGAAACAATCAGTAAGGTGAATACAGAGCCTACAGCTTGGTAGTAAATTTTTACTACTTGAACATCAGATAGAGCACTAATATCAAGGATATATAAAGATCTCAAAAATCTTAACACCAAAATAACAAATAGCCCAATCAATAAATGGGCCAAGGAACTAAAGAGACACTTCTCAAAAGGTGATATACAATCAACCAATAAATATATGAAAAAATGTTCAACATCTCTAGCAATTAGAGAAATGCAAACCAAAACTACTCTAAGATTTCATCTCATTCCACTCAGAATGGCAGCTATTAAGAATACAAACAACAATAAGTGTTGATGAGGATGTGGGGGAAAAGGCACTCTCCTACATTGCTGGTGGGACTGAAAATTTGTACAGCCAATATGGAAAGCAGTATGGAGATTCCTTGGAAAACTTGGAATGGAACCACCATTTGACCCAGCTATCCGACTCCTCAGTCTATACCCAAAGGACTTAAAAACAGCATACTACAGGGACACAGCCACATCAATGTTTATTGCAGCACAATTCACAATACCTAAACTGTGGATCCAACCTAGATGCCCTTCAGTAGATGAATGGATAAAGAAAATGTGGTATATATTAAAGAATGGAATATTACTCAGCAATAAAAGAGAATAAAAATCATGACTTTGCAGGTAAATGGATGGAGTTGGAGAAGATAATGCTAAGTGAAGTTAACCAATCCAAAAAAATCAAATGGTGAATGTTTTCTTTGATATAAGGAGGCTGATTCATAGTGGGGTTGAGAGGGAGAGCATGGGAAGACTAGATGAACTCTAGATAAGGGAAAGGGGAGGGAAGGAAAGGGAGGGGCAAGGGGAGTAAAAAATATTGTGGAATAAGATGGACATCATTACCCTAAGTACATGTATGAAGACATGAATAGTGTGAATATACTTTGTAAACAACCAGAGATATGAAAATGTGTGTTCTATATGTATGATATGAATTGTAATGCATTCTGCTGTCATATATAACAAATTAGAATAAAAAAATTTAAAAAATAAAATATAAAAAAGGGCTGGGGATGTGGCTCAGTGGTTAAGCCCCCCGGGGTTCAATCCCCAGTAGCCCCCACCCCATTAAAAAAAAAAACTATAAAAGGCAGGAAAAGCATGGCAGAC